AAGTTAATGAAATAGAGTACAGGGAGATATTTATATGAGGAAGAAAAGCATTAAGGTAAAAACTGTAAACCCACCACCTGAAATAAAGAGACTTAGCATGCAAGCACGCGGTTAATAAATCGAATTCAGCGTGCCTACAAACGCTGCGCCGGCTCGCCGTAATTCTCTGTAGGACCCGTCGTCGCTTCTGTAGTGGCCCCTAATGGCATAGCTCATGGCCCACTAGACATTTATATGAGAAAGAAAGGCATTAGGAGAGAACCGAAAACCCACCACCTGAAATAAAGAGACTTAGCATGCAAGCTTGCGGTTAGTGAATCGAATTCAGCGTGCCTACAAACTCTGCGCCGGTGCTGCCTACGTTCACTGCGGGACCCGTCGTCGCTTCGGCAGTGGTCCCGAGTGACCTCTCTCCTGGCTCACTAGGCCTGTCTGACTAAGGCATTCGCGACCGCATGTTCTACAGCACCATGCGCTCGATGTCGATGGAGTAAAATTCATCGGTGTTTGCCGCTTCCGCAACTGCCGCTTCTTCTCTGCATGCATGAGGGCTTTCTCCCGCACTTCAGCAACTGCCTTCGTGATTAGATCGCGCCATGCACCACGATCAACCGCCTTCGATTCCCATGATCTGCAATCAAGATTAGAACATGAGTGGCTCACTTTAATCATGTCCTGGTAACGTAACTTTGGTTTCCCAGCATGCCGCTTCCCAATACTCAGCTGACCGTATAAAAGTTGTTTCGGTATCCGCGTCGAATCCATACGGCTCACATGACCGATCCACTTCAGGTGTCGCAGTAAAAGTATGCCGTCCACTGCATACATCCCACTTCGGCGCAACACTTCCGTGTCTGCGACTCTGGCGCCCCAACCGATCCGCAAAATTCGTCGCAGACACTGCTGATGGAACCGCTCGAGATATCGCACATCCCGACGGTACATCGTCCACGTTTCACTGCCGTATAGAAGAACGGACAGTACCATGGATTTGTACACCATCAGCTTTGTGCCAATGCTAAGCTGATGGTTGTTCCACACTCGGTACTCAAGCTTCCCGAATGCCGCTGCCGCCTTCGACACGCGAATACGCAACTCAACGTGTAGCTGCTGATCAGTCGATATCACACTCCCAAGGTAGCAAAAGCGGGAGGTGGTTTCCAATACTTCAGCACCAATGCTGATTTGCGGCAATATTGAAGATTGCACCTCCGGTGAAGGCTGAAAGAGACAGACAGTTTTGCTTGTGTTGATGGTGAGCCCGAATTTGGCCGCTGTCGAAGCCAGAGCACTAGTCATGTGCTGCAACTCATCCGCGCTGTGTGAAAACAACGCACAGTCGTCAGCAAACAGCAACATCCGGATAGTTGTCTCACAGACTAGTTCTCGCACCGAAACGACGGATGTCCAGCAACCCACCATCAATACGGTGCTCCACACGAACACCGTAAGCACAATCGGCCTCAAAAGCACAAGACATTGCATGAAGATAGATATTAAACAGGGCAGGAGATAAGACACAGCCTTGCTTCACACCAGAGACAACTGCAAAGTCATCCGAGGTCTCTCCACTCAGCTGCACCCTCGCTCGCATACCACTGTGCAGACATCCAATTAAGCTTACAAATTTACGCGGGCAACCAAACTTACCCAACACCAGCCACAGTGCCTCGCGGTTCACCGTATCAAATGCCTTGGTGAAATCAACAAAAGGCGAGTACAATGGCTGGTGTCGTTCTCTGCACTTCTCTTGCAACTGACGAGCCGCAAACACCATATCTATAGTGCTGCGACCCGAACGGAATCCACACTGCTCTTCCGCCACGTTAGGTTCCACAATCTGACTCACGAGGCGATTGAGCAGGATTCAGGCAATCACCTTGCCCACACAACTCAGCAAGTTGATGCCACGATAATTCGTGCAACATTGCTTGCTCCCTTTGCCCTTGTACAGTGGTAGCACAAGGGCATCCTTCAGCTCAGCAGGCACCTCCTCCTCAATCCACACGCGTTGCACCAAGTGGTGCAGCGCAGTCAACAACGCGGGTCCACCGTGTTTCAATACTTCAGGTGGGATCCCGTCGGCTCCGATACATTTGCCGTTTCGCAGCTGAGCAAGTGCTCTCTGCGTCTCATCCAGTGTCGCCGTATCCGCCAGATCCGCCTTCACATCGTGCTGCTTCAGGCCGTTCAATGTAGGCCAGTCGATCTCTGAACGGTTGTTCAAGAGACAATCAAAGTGTTTCCGCCAGACCTGCATTATGTCTGCAGTCTGGGTGCAGGTAGCGCCTGAACTACCATCGATCAGTGTCCTCAGCGGCTCCAATCTCGGTCCATACACCGCCTTCAAGGAGTCAAAGAATTTCTTGTGTTGGCGGCGTTCGGCGTAGCATTCCATCTGCTTCGCCTTCTCCGTCCACCATGCATTTTTAATGCGACGGAGCTCTCGGGTCAGTCGCCGTCGAAGTTTGCGAAACTGACTACTCTTTCCCAAGTCACTGGGGTCTGCCACATTTGCAGCAAATGCTGCATTCTTCTCTGACACCAATGCGCCAATCGCCACATTGTTGTCATCAAACCAATCAGGCCGCTTACAGTTTGCGCGCCCGATGGCCTCCTCGGCAGCAGCTGTCACCTGGTCGCGAATGTGGTGCCGCAGGTCGTCCACTGTGGCTATGCAGTCCACATCACACAGGCGTGCAGCCATCGCCTTCTCCAGCTCAGTACGTTTCGCCACAGTACCGTGGGAGAGAATGTTAAATTTACGCCGATTCACGGCGGGTGTGCAATACATCGATTTACGAAAATATATGTACAGTTTGGTCCGAACCAATTTGTGATCAGTGCGACACTCAGCTCCACGCAGTAAACATTTCATGCGCACTTCACGCATATCACGCTGACGTACGATGACATAGTCGAGCAGGTGAGCGTGATCACTCCGTGGGTGCGTCCAAGTTGCTATATCACTCGCACTCAATGCAAACCGCGTGTTCGTGATCGTCAGGCCGTGAGTGGCACACAGTGAGAGCAGCCTGTCACCGTTCGCATTCGCTGAACCAATGCCATGCGCACCGATAACATCTGTCCACGCTGATGCATCACGCCCAACGCGCGCGTTGAAATCACCCAGCAGAAATAGTCGGTCGCTCCTCGGCACAGACCGTATCAGGGAGGATAGCTCAGTGTAGAACTGATCACGCGTGTCATCAGGATAACACATGGTCGGACCGTACGTGCTTATAAAAGTAGCAAACTTATCTCTTCCGAGTCGTAGGCGAACAGTCATCAGTCGCGCGCTGATGCCCGTTGGTTCACCCACCAGCTGGCCATTCAGGCGATCGGATATTGCAAATCCGACCCCATGTTCACGTGGTGCTGAGGCGGCGTTTCCCACCAAATAGAATGTGTAGCCAGCACCTGCTTCATGTAACTTACCTTGCTCAGCGAGCCGAGTTTCACTGAGCGCCGCAATATCGATGTGGTAGCGCGCCAGCTCCATCGCGACCAGTGCAGTGCGTCGCTTGGGCGCTCGCTGGAGTTCCGGTCCAGTAGTGTGCGCACGTTCCAGCACCCGATGCTGAGTGCTTTGCGCGCAGGCATACGATTGCATTGGTGGGCAATCGCACGCGAGGTGGTCGTTGTGCTTCGGAGGTTTGCTTGAGGGACTCCACCCGGAGCCTTTGGCTCAATAGCCTGACCCACAAGGCAGTGGAGAGCAAATCCAGCTCGGGAATGTGATTGCAGAGACAGATTGGGATCTGCTTGACGGCCGTCACACGCAGCCTTTGAGGTTCTGGAACAATTATCATATGTTTTGCGACCGTAATTGGATACGTACCTGCGACCACGGCCAGACGCAGGTGGGTTTTTGGCGGGTTTGCACCAATTTGACCAGGGGCTGCCTGGCTTGAGGCGGGCAGTAGCAAACCATTGAACACCCGGAGGTGTCCTCCCACCGTCAGACAATGCGTGGCCCTCGTGCTCTACGCCAATCGAGCTTTGAGAATATAACCCGTAAACCTGTTGTCTCCCATGGCTAGGTTTTACGGGAAGTGGGCCATCGACCACTTCCTAACCTCCGAAGAGGATGGACTAGGATACTGCCAGGGCGCCCACACCTGACAGGAGAACGACTCGGGTCCTCAGCCAAAGCCTTCGATTAAATATACACCCGAAAGGTAGCGGGTCTAGCACATGGTCAGTTAGCCGACTCATGCGGATTGGTGTCCTTGACTTAGCAGGGAGAAGGACGAAACCCAACTCCCACCCAGCGGTCGCCACGTGGAGGCGCCCAGGACATGAGACTATGGCGCAGCAGTAGCAGCAGTGGGTAGACCATCTGTCAGGATCTAGCCACCGCCAGCCTCAGCGCACCATAGGCTCTCCCGCCATGAAAGAAATCATACATACATACATACATATAACACAATACACAAAGGGAAAACAGATACAACAGCTGCATGCCAGCTGAGGTACCAGCAACGGATAGGCATCGTTCCGGTAAGCTTCCAGCCAGCTATTAGGCAAAAAGAAAAAAATTATTATTATGTTTTACCCTAGGAAATGAGATCGTGAATGGAGGGGGAGACTAAAAGGGATGGGGAGGGACAAAGAAACTCACAGCAGGAACGCCACTGCAGCTACAACCCATCTTATTTGCTTTCCTCGCTGCATTTAACGCTCACCAAACTGTCGTGGAATGCGGCACGATAGTTAAGGTACTATCACTTCTAGCTAACCTGTGAAATAATGATGATTACCGTCTTGGGACGCAATCACGGGTCGACTGCGGTTCTGCGTCACGTGTAATTCCATTACCACTTGTTTGCTGATCGACCCGTTCTGCTTCATGGCTGCGTACCAGACGCTTTTCCCTTTGCTGATCATTCATATAACAGCTGTCACTGCTGCTCCATTCTTTACTGATCATTCGATACTTTCACATTTAACCTGTTTGCATGTATAATGGATATATGCTGTACTCTTTCCGATATTTTAGGAAAAGAACTAATGGGGTTTGAAATGAAACTTGGTTGGGGTAAAAGTGTCCCTATACCGTTGTATCCGATCTACATTCCTCCTGCACTCCTTGAATTAATCAAGCCACCTCCTCCCAGCGGTCTACCTTTTAATGCTCAGCCAAGGGAATGGCTGAAGTCTTTACGTTTGGCCATCAAGGAGCGTGCCAAACTGGTGACTGATGGCACTGATTCGGATACTTCCATTCCGCCTGGTCCTGACCGCAAGCCATTCGATATCAGCAAGATGGGCAGAGATGAACTGAATGAGGTGAGTCTCTCCACATATCTCCCTTGGAACTCTTCTGTTACTTTACTGGCTATCGTAACCTTATTTCGTCTTACGTTGCTTGTCAGACGCCTTCGCAGCGATCGCTGCTCCTTCAAATGATTCCATGCTTTTTATCATTCATCTGTGGACTATCCCGCGATCTTACTTGGCTAGATAAAGCAACGGGAGATAATGTGCAAGTAATGAGGGTTACTTGACTAGCAGTTGTCTACCCACGTTCTTATCTCTTGATAGCCATGAGATCCTATTTTGCTCCTCATTCTCTTGGTCTCATCTCCGCTGCTGATTTGCATACACCGGTTTGAATTATAATTCCAGAAAACCGGTTATTCTGAGTACGTTCCAGCGTATCCGTTTATGTAACAAAGTGCAAGGAGCTGAGTGCGATACCCAAATGCTTTTTGAAAATGGCTAACGTTGGGGCACCGACAACAGTTTAGGATGGGGTTTCCAAGGTTGGCAGACCCAGAGGGACGACTGTTCTGTTGGCTTAATTTCAAGCTTTTGCCTTAGCTTGGTGTTCGGACGGTTTCAGAAGGGGATCACTCAATTTTCGGTATACCATCATGAAACCACCACATGGGTGTTGGTAGTGTTCACGAACCGGCCGTTCTTGGCTAAAAGGTGGCGCATTATTCATTGCCCTGCGTGAGGTTTCACGATTAGCAAGCCTCGATAGCATATTAAACGTGCGGACGTAAGTAGACACTGGGCATCAAGCAGAGGATAGATGAATCCAAACTCCTGAGTGACCTCTACAAGAAAGCAACGTGCTGCTTACCTTTTTCTGAAATGGACTCAGGCAGTCCGGAGAAACCGAGATCATGGCCTGAGAGGTGATCTGTAATCGTGCATCCGTCATCATCAACATACTTACACCTTAGCTGAAGGCGAGAAATTATTGTGCCGGAATACATAAAGATATGCGGAAAAGCAAGATACCGAAAATTATGGAATGTAACAGACAGGTGACAGACTACATAGTAAATTATTTTGCGTCAAGATAGAGATCTTGGTTGGATGGGGAAGAAGCGGGATGAGGAGAAACAAAAAACTCACAACACAAACGCCATTGAGGTCGCCTCCTTGCCATGTAAACTAGTGTATCCAACCAAACGTGTTCATCGTCCGTCGGACACACTAACCTACGCTTACTGTAAAGTGAGGGATTTCATTTCTTTTGACCAACTCATCGCTTGGCCACTCCTCCTCTTCTTCCATCCACACTCCCGGCGTGCAAACTATGCCCGTCGCGGGAGTCGGTGGGATGGCATGCGCAACACGTGACTTAGCCATTGGAGCCTGGTGCGATATATACTGGTGCTGAACGGTTTACTCGCTCTTCCTGCACCAAATACACAACGAAAAAGCTCATTGCTCACTCGGTGCATCCACGAGACATGAGCTAAGGTACGAAAGCAGCGATGATCGAACGTGACTAGCCTCTTTATGGGGCCAGGTTTCACAATTGTAGAGTGGGATCGAACCCACGGCTGCCCTTCAGATAGAGAGTAATATCACAGGTGGCGGAGGTTAACAAAAGCACCTCGAGCTTTTGTTATGTAGTTTGTGTCCTCATCTTTCACTTCATTGCCACTGATATAGCTGCCTAGATACTTGAATTTCTCTACGACTTCTAGCCGACCCCCAGCAAGGGTCAGCGCAGAGGTGGGTCCCTACCAATTTTGCAGAAAGACTTTGCACTTCGAGGGTGCAAAGCATAGTTCGAAACGACTGACACCCAGTGCTAATTTTTCCAGGAGTACTTGGCGCTTTTTAAAGCTGTTACAAATAATGACATTGTCGTCGACATACTCCAAGTCGTTCACCTGGGAGCGGCTCCACGCCTTGCAAGTCATGTTGAGTGAACGCCGTTTCCATGACTTCCTCGATGGATAAGTTTAAAAGGAAAGGTGACAACGGGCATCCTTGTCTCACACCGCTGGAGATATTGAAGGGCGGTGACATCTTACCTTAAGCCCTCACTCTGCCCGAACTATGTGCGCTCTTGTGACATTTACGTATTTCTCGGGCACACCCTCAGTAGGCAGTCCCAAAGGGCATACCGATCAGCCGAATCGAATGCCCCCCTGATGTCGAGGAACACGACTACGGTGGCTCGCCTATAAATATGGCCGTGCTTCAGCAATGACGTAGTGTGAAGATATGATCAATACAGCCCCGACTTCGGTGAATACCCGGCGTGCTTCTCGCAAATCTAGCGTTCACGTGTGCCAGTAAGTCTATGAAGAATGACTGGCGAGTATCTTGGAGACAATTGAGAGCAGACTGATCCCACTATGATTGCCACATTCAGGACCTGAACGCCACTTAAAAATCGGGCCTATTATCGAGCGGTTCTAGTCTGCTGAGACAGTTTCCTGCTTCCACAGCTTCACAAGTTGTGTAAATCATCCACAAGAGCGGGTCCCCAGAATTTAAAAATAGCTGGAGCGATTCTATCCGCTTCTTCGGCCTTATTTACTTTCAACGATATGATCTCACGTTCGACTTCTGCTCTTGAAGGCAAGTCCGCAGGTCTATGGGGACGGCTCAGGGAGAAGGACGATCAATGCCCGAAGAAACTGGTAACTCCAGTTTATGAAGCTGCTTTTCAAGATGTTTGGTGGAACGCTCCAAGCGTTTGGTCTCACTAACACCAGCTCTCCTACTGCCCGTTTCGCGTATTCAACGGCATACCTTCTGATGATTACCAAGGGCAGCGGCCATTTCCATCTCCGATGCACCACGCTTCGCGGTCCCTCCTGGTGGTAGAGCTCAGTTTTACCCTGAGGTTTTTGTGAGTCTCGTGTTCCATCCCAGCGAGCGAGCATCCAAAAGTTCCAGCGACTGCATGGAGACTCAATGTCCAGCCTGGCAACTCCATTCGCCATATGAACACATGTCTGCTGCAAATAATGTCTGGCGGATATGCGACCAGTGACGCTTTACTGTGTTCAGAGCGTTTACTCAGCCCGGATACCAGCATACTCTGATATGGCTTCGCCATCTGGCATGTATCTATGCGCCCATAGCGACGCCGCATGCGCCCACTGAAGCGAACTGTAAGATCGGCGCAAACGGGTGGGTAGTCAGAGTCCCCGCTCTTGCTCCGAATTGTGCGACAGTTTTGGACACAGTTTCTAGCGGTAACTGATCGCGATGTGGTCGATTCATGTCCATGGCTGATTTGTGGCGGGTGGACGCTATGCCACCATTCTGCAGATGCTGTCAGAGGAAATTGATGAGCACCTTAACACAGATGTAGCACACACTTGCCGTTATCATTACGAAAACCTACACCATGTTGAGCGTCCAGATGAAACTCATCAGTGGACAGTTTTCCAATTTGGACACCAGTCAGAATCACAGTAGTCGTATGATGAAGGAGCGCTACAATCTGTGGGTGCGTAGGCCGCAATAACAAACAGGCACCGTTTGTCTCCGCGCTATTTCGAAGCTCTGAACGAACCAGCCAACCTGACTGCACACATGCGGCTGTTCATCGGGGTTCAGTCAACCAGGACAGCTTTAGCCCCAGGACTCAGGACAATTCCCACACCGGCTTGAGCAGTAATTTAAGTTGCATTTTCTCCAGACAAACACAGTGAGAACGCGCCGCTTGTGGGGGATTGCAGGGTAATCACGAGACTCGCATCTTTCAGGCGGGTTTCCGGTTAGCAGCAGATGTCGATCGTGAGGGTCTCTAGTGTTCGGGCAAGTGCTGCCTGTTGGCCAATTTGTAGCAAAGTGCGCACCTCGAGGCATACCAGTCTTAGTGAGGATCAGGGTCTCCAACAATAACCGAAAGAACTGATGATTTCCGCTTGGTTGGACATGGACTTGTCGACGGTAGTGACGCCATGTGATTAGCATGTGAGTCGAAACTAGGAGACAAACGACCATTAAAGCAAGCTAAGGGATGACAACGAATTGAAAAATTGAAGACGGTGTAAAAGTGATGTTGAAGCGGAATGATAATGGTGAAAACACGCAAGAAGGGAATAAGAAGACAGGAAGGCTTGAGCAGTAGCATCCTTACTCCTATACACCAGTGCTCGGTGCAGCAGATAGGGCACCGTTGTTTATCCTCTGCGACGGCTACAGCATCAAGAGATCGTGTGGAACGAAGCCCATAGTTGTATTGCGCGGGCAGAGTAATGTCAAGTTGCCCAGGCCTAGACGGGAGAACGATTAGGATTCTCAACCAAAGCCTTAAGTTCAAAAATGCTACCGCAAGCCAGTGAGGTTTTGGCACTGGACTACGGAGAGCCCGTTTTATGGCCTATTGAGCCACCCTCATTTCAACCCGCAATCTGGAGGGCCAGGACACTGAGTTTGTCTGGCCTCTAACCACTGACCAATCTGGTATGAGTAGCTCTAAAGGTACAGAAATGCACCTCCCAGCATAGCTCAGTGGATCGTTGAGGCATGCAAACTGTCTCATTACCTTAAGGTTCATTCTCGTCGTAGGGTGCACCCCAGGTCTTTAGATATAGTCGTTTCGGTGGTGTATGTAAAATCTCGGTACTTCTTCACATTGGATGGCAGTACATACCTCACCGATCCAGGCCTTATCAAGATCGCACTGGAGAGTCTCGGGGTCTTCCAATCCTTTGGTATACCGCACAATCGTAATGCCTACCTCGAAGAGAATAAAGTTCTTGGGATTGACTTTTGTTGTATCCTTGCTGAAGACTAAGAACAGGCGAAGCCCAAGCACCGAAGCTTGTGTTGCGCCACACTCGACTTGAATTGCTTCGGACTAGGATGTTCGGACTTCAGTTGGAGAGATTTACCGATTCATCCAGGGACCATAGTGCTGCATATTGTAAAACAGGAACCAATGATCCGCACAATTAACCGCTTTTCTAAAGTCCGAGTTGATGACATCGGTTCCTATGCCATTGTCAATGCTTCAGTTCAACTTTCGCGTGCGATCATCAGGGGTTCCTAGTGTATTATTGATGCTGACATAGAACTTGCTCCCCTAGCTCTATGAAATCGTAGCTTTCCAAGTAACCCGTCAGCAGTACGCCGGTACGCAATACCGACGCTTCACTGCCGCGCAATCACCACCGATCGCACGCGGGTTAATGATACTGCGAGGGTCGTCCGGTGCACTACTCTGGATCGAACCCGCGCCGTCCGGTTACGAGACAAACTCGTTGCCTTTAGGCTACGGGCAGTCAACGCATTTGCAGTGATCGCTTCCATAACTTTGGCGAGCACAAGGAGAAGCCTTACCGAGTCGTAATTGACAAGCTCAGATCGGCTTCCTCTTCTAGGAATAGGGATGATGATACCCGGTTTTCATTTTGGCTGAATTGTTTACTCTAAACGACGCTGAAAAATTCCAGCAAGTGGTTCAGCTAGGTGCATTACCAATATCTTCAATGCTTTCGGATAAATTTTACCCGCTACGGTGAGAGCTGTGTGTGCGCAAAGGTAAGAAGCTTTTTAACACCGTTTCCGCATTATAGGTGGCGTTGAGTAAAATTGTTGATGGAGTAATAGGAATAGGAATAGCGTCCGAGCCGTGTATTACTTAGTAGCCGAGTACCACTGAATCCGTAAGACGTTGGTCGCCTTTCTCGCAGGATATGTTTATCCACCAACCGTAGTGAGTGGGGGGATTGCACACTGCACTTTACGAAGGTAATTGACGTGTCTGTATGGAAGCTTGTAATTCAAACATAATTGTTTCAGCAGCTCCTGTTGGCATGCCAACATGTCTTCACAAATCAACTACCCAGTGCTCGCATTGAGCTGCGTGCACTGTTCAAATTTCTGAGCTGGAAAAGTTTGTATACGTGCCATATCCAATCCCCCATTGCCATACGTTTTCGTGTTCTGCTTCTTAAAAAGCGCAATAACAAGCTACAGACACTGATGCTTTCGCGACTAGTGACGTGGTCTTCTAGCGTACTTCCCATGCTTTCTCTGGAGTGTACTCAGTCGTGGATGTCCAATTAGCTTCTTCAGTGAACGCGGGTAATACGTAGTGATGCATAATAGAAAGTCTTCGTTCGAGCTCTGCATCGGGATAATCGACGTGCCAAATGCACTCCTCCGTTAAGGTCATCTGGTCGCTTCGACTCAAATTGCTGTATACACCTACCTCCTCTCTAGTAGGCACCAGACCTAACATTGATGGCTTATTCGCTGTTCTGAACGTGGTGGTAACTGTGACGCCATTATAAAATGGGATGCAACTGGCTAGCTATTGCATCTAGGCTTTGTACTGTTCTGTCTCGCTTTCTGGGGTTTCCCGTTCATGAATGTTGTCATCTCTTGTAATAAGGATGTGGCTGTATTTTGCTACATCGCAGTACGTAGAATCGATATTAGTCTGGTCTGTTTTTTTTGTGAATTTTGTAGTTTGGTTAACTACGGACACAAGATATATATTGTCGTCCTTCGGTCATAGCTTGTACAAGGTAACTAACTGACACGCGTTTTTGAATCGTCTGAGTTCATAACCGTTTGCTTTGTACTAAATGATCATTAGTGTTCTCCAGCCCTTCGTGTCGGCCGGTGGCCGAGTGGTCTGCGCTCCTGGTTTACAACCATAAGGTCCCCGGTTCGCATCCGCGTAGGGGTGGGCGTCCTCGCGGTATATTCAGTCCGCGCGCGGCTGATGGTTGCGCGGCAGCGAAGCGCCGTTACGGCGTACAGTTGACACATTATTATTTTTTACCCCTCGTGTCGTTCCGGACAAGTACCATACCGAGTAAAATGGTCCCGAGTCTCCGGATCCTGATGATATCGGTTCGACCACCTTACTAATAGTGCGTTGTGCATATGGGAAGGTTTCTCGGTAACCAAAAGTTATTGGATGTTGGATGGAGATTATGCTGACTGATGAGAGATCGACAACTAACCGTTTTTGACTAGTCCTTTGTCATTGTGCTTCGACTAGATGTAAGGGGACATTCACTGATTTGGCCGTTTACAGTAAATCTTCACATATCATGGCCATGTACCTACCGTCTTTAATCGGATTTCTGCCAACCGTCTCAAAATTTGAGCCATTTTCCAATATGTGCAGTGTCATTAGCTCAGGCTGAAGTAACACTTTCAGTCAAGGGTCGTTTCCCCTGTAGTTGGATAAGGCTGGAGTTATTGTCAACCAATTAGTAGTAATGTCGAGGGAGAGTTCTTGCCGGATGTAGTAATCGCTTCCGGTTATGTGCCTCTGGATCCTCAGATGAAGAATTTTGATGTTCGCAAACTCCGTAAACAATGTGCAAACTATTAACGGATGATGAAAAGACTTACTCTAAACAACAGTTTGGCTCGCCCAGACTGGTGCACAAAACTGTACTGCTGTACAGTGGGGCTGGGTTTTTTCTTTGATTGCATTTCTCCAAAACCTAGAGCTGCAACCTCATCCGAAAACACACCACTAAGCGACAGCTTTTTCGTAGCATGTGGGACCAGCCAAGAATATTTTCCAATATCACAGTAACTAGCTACCTTCTGATCTTTATGGAACAAGACGCATAGCAAGTACGCGTCCACGAGAGTGAAACTCTTTCAATCGATTATGCAGATTGCAATACAACCGTTCTGTAGGTTCCTATGTCTCGTTCCATTGACATGACATTCAACTTGTATAGCCTTCAGTTTGCTTACATGAACGACAGCTAAACTAATAAACTTGCAAGGTTGACAACTATTGATAACAGTTCCAACGAAACAGAGTCCCAGTAGATTAAAGCGGTTACCGATAATGGCAAAGTGGACTTCATTCAATGAAATGATTAGACGGCATGGTGCATTAAAGCACTTAATTGTTTGCTATTTTGTATGGCAACATGCATTGATCGTTCCAACTAACAGGAACGAAAACAATCAGGGAAAGATTAAGTTCAGTACCCTGACTGTTTCATGCTACTGGATATATACATAGTACAGGAATTTCTGAATCATCTAGTGTGACCGATTATCCCTGGGACAGTTCACTCAGAGTCCTGTAGTATCAGTGTGTGTTTAACTACAGCTAGCTATGTGAGAGCCACTAAAATCAGTGTTAATGTTAAGTAAACAATTTTTTCCCGATTCGGTCACAGTACCCTATGTAACAATGAGCTACTTTGTCGCATGATTCACGTGGAACCAGTCAATCGATATGGGTTTAGTCTACAAGGCATTCGTCACAATTGCACACACCAAAAAGGAAGCAAACTCATATCATTACCAAAAGTCAAGGCTGAATTCTCATTTTGTGGCCCACAGATAATCCACTGGTCCTAATAGTTTTGTGGCAATTAGTTTTCATTTATTTGACATCACACGTTACGCCAGTGGCCACTGTTCACCTGGTTTTGGCTGGTTTATACATTATTTTATAGGGACTGTCTAGTTTTGAGCAACGGTTTCGTTCTGTAGTCACTAGAAGCAACTACTTGCTTTCTTATCTTACTCCGTTGACGTTGAACTTACACTCCGTCAACGGTTGTCTCTATTGTCCAAGTTTCGAAGGAAGAGAACCGTGGATCTTTTAAGCTCCAATTTATCTGCTCTCTAGCCGGGATCCCATTCAGTATTAGTGGACCTACAGCCACTCAGTAACCGCCGCATGTCGTATAGCTTTCTAGTGAACGTGTGGCGCACATGGGGACAATAATTTCTCACTGTCAACTATGCGCAATTTCTCTATGATTTATTCCGACGTATGAGCGCTGTGTATCGGCTCGTAGTCCTAAGCATCACAAGCCTGCCTTGTAATCCCAGGGCGCTGATTCGAGTATGCGTAGGAACCACCGCAGTATCCTTAAACTCACGTGCGACTGCCGGTGCTGGCGCGGCAGCAAAGCGTCGGTACGAAGTTTTGGTGTACAGCTGATGCCTATGAGCGCTGTGCTTACATTTAAGGCATCGTTTAGTTTTTCCTTCTATGTGTCACGTTTCGATCTGCTATCGAAGCCAACGGCTTGTTTGTCACCATATCGGAATGCAAATTAGTTGTTGCTGATATTTCTGAATACCTTAATTATGTGTTTTTCAACCCGTTGCAATTGTTTTTATATTCGGTTTTATTGCGAATCCCATCTACATGGCCAAACCATCTGACTAGTGCAAGCTTTCACACTGTTTTTTGTCTGTTTTGTGTCTTGTCCTTACCTTTCGACGTCCCATACTTTTCGCTGGTTTCAAAGGTTCTGAAGGACGCTGTCGTTAAAGTGGTCATACCTAGTGACAGGTAAGCTTTTGTCCAGTACATTTTCATACTTCCCACCCTAACTCTGTGACTTTCAGGTCTGTGCTCGCCTTGATCCACCGGTTGATTGAATTTGTCGTTCTCGAAGGACCTCAGTTTGAGGCCGCGATCATGCATCGTGAGCAGAATAACCCCCAGTTTAAGTAGGCCCTAGTGTTCGTCCTCATTCATTATTGGTTTAGGTTTCTTTTTGATTATCAATCTTCGGAACACGCCTACTACCGCTGGAAGCTTTGGTCCATACTGCACGTACGTTTTCACCACTATCTACGTAGCCGTTATTGTCAAATCAAATTTTCTTGATTCATAAACGACGGCACGGAGAGATTGCTTAGAATTATCAAGCATCTCAGCGCTTTCGGACTCGGAACTTAAGTCATTGTCTGACACTCTTAAGAGCTCACAATTCCACTCCCGAGAACTAATGAATGAAACGGATCGTAGCCACCTTATTTTGCACCTGTTAGCTATTTGTCTCTTACAATTCTTGGGATTTGCAACAGGAAATTTCCTTTATGTTTCCACACAGGAATGTCAGCAGACCTAGTTTGTTAGATAACGTTGCCATTTCGTACATTCTTATCAATCACAAACATGCAACAGTGACAGATAGACAAACACTGTCATTTGGGATCATGGATGGCCAAGCGCTTGCGTTATCGGGGTAAGCTTATAGCCAATGCCAGCCGTTCTTAAATGCATGTCGTTGATCGTTCGCGGTCGATAATAATGGCCTCCAGTAGCCTAAGCATGTGGGGCCACTAACTATTTGAGTAGCCAACCTTTGTCTCGGACAAACTGAATTGCATTCATTTGATTTATCCAGTCTGTTATCATTGGGACGGTCTGCTAAGGGAAACAAGTGTTGATGACCGCAGTGTGCGCACTCCATGCTGCGATTTGATTTCTAACCTCGTAAGACAGGAGATTCTGAATGAACCTTGTCTCCTTGAGTTTCCTGGGTACGACGGGGGATTTAGTTGAAGTTTTCTGCCTTGCTGTCGAATCATAATCTCGGTGAATATCGTTCTCGTTTCATACCTGCCGAGCCGCACGAATCTAGCCTACTTTTGGCATCCACAAACCATCTTGCTTATAACTATGCTTGTTTTCACAATGTGTCCCTAGCTCCTAATCGTGGGAGGTAAAATAATTCATTGAAGTGCTCCATTTAGAGTCAACTTTATGCTCCCTAGGACTTCATGTACACCATTTATCCATCAATTGCGTCCATAACAGTGGATTTCCTCCGCAAAGAAATCACGTCCCTACATAAGTCACTGAAATAGTTGGTACCCCACTCAAATTACATGCAGCATCAACACGCAACGCAGTCACGCCGGATGCATTTTGATTTGGGGTACGAGCTATCTTGAGTGACTTTTGGAAAAACGTGGTTTCCTTGCGGAATCTGAATGTATGCTGGGCGCAACTGACTGAACGATGGTACAATTAAATGACACAGCGATATGCGACGCACTGTTCTTACCATAGCCTTACTATAACACGCGTGAATAGTCATAATACCGGTTACCACAGACCGCCCGTAATTTATAGGTAGCGACTTCGTCTTGTGTTCTGCTGGCGCGGGTTCGAACCTGCGTAGCGGCAGGGCGACTCTCGCTATATCCCTAGCCCACGTGCAACCGGTAGTGGTTGCGCGGCAGCGAAGCGTCTGTACTGCGTACCGGTGTACTGCTGATACCTACCACAGCTTGATCTTTTCCAAATTAGAGGTGATGCTTAAGATGCATGTACTGGCGACATTTTTATTTGAGAGAATTGTACCACAAACCGGATTGGTTTTCTGCCAATCTCCTTGCTCTTTCTTCTTTGTATCCGCTCATTTGTTTTCTCATCGGGAGTACTTTACTGGAATATAAGTTTAAAGTTTGGTATTTGCTTATTTCGAGAGAATGCACGTGCATATCTTGTACCCTGTACATTACCGAAGGGCGAAAGTGTTAACAATTGGCGGACAGACGAGTTTCGCATGTTTGAATGCGGCCCACTTTGGCGCCCACCACCCATGAACCTGTTCTCAGGTGGCATGCCTGAAGATCTTGTTGAAGAGGACGATTATCCTTACGCACCCGGCTATGTACCTCCTCCTCAGGCCAGACGCCACCGAGATGCAGATGTCATGTGAGTAGAGAATACCCTCTCTCTTTCATCTTATCACCACCGCCCCTTGAGACCTGCGGCAGAACTGCTGTACTTTTTGCTATGAAACGCTTTCTTCATTCTATGTAATGTGAATTTCATAGTCATAAGCAGCGAGACAGCGCATCCCTTTTGTCATTTCCACACCTGTTTGCCGTACTATTTTTCCCATCTATTCTGCATTCCACATCTGTCCACCAGAGGCCTTTCATTCCTCTTCCAGTAATACGCCTGATCCATGTATGTTTTGTGTCTTTACCTTCATCTCTTTGATTTATCCTGTTTAACCTTGCCACTGGTAGTCGTCGAAATATTCGCTGATCCCGGCAATTTTGTTGTAAATGTTTTAGCACCAGTCGAGTTGACATCACCAGTGCGTTGATGCGTAGGTTAGGAAAGCGCTCACTTACGCTACGCATCAACGCACTGATGATGTCACCTGGACCGGTGATGAGACGCTTGCAACAAAATTGTCGACGTGAGCAAACACTTTGACCGCCACGAGAACGACCTGAGCTACCAATTTTCGGTTCCGTTTCGAACATGGCAACTCTCAGTGGATATTATTCGCTTGCTATTGAAAACAGTCTCAACGATGCTCGCCACTCTTAACGTTGTTCTGCTCTGTCCTGCATTAATCGGATTATCGTCTCGGGATGGTAGTTGGCCTACAGCTTCTCGAACAGTGTGAATGCCGTCCCCCACGGGGCCAACTTTGTATGATAGGGATTGTATCTGAACAATCTCACATATTCCTTCTTATCTAGCCAACTTAGTTTCGCTACCCTTACCATTCCTTTCGTTTGCATCACATTGGCTTTAGTGTACGCCTCTTAGCAGTCGCGATATATGATGTTTGCCCTGTTTTCGCTTTATAAGGCATCTATCCCGCTTTTCTCCTTCACCACTTTATACCACCTTAAATGTTAAACCATATTCTTAGCTGCTGCTAGTCTTCGAGAGATGATACGTAGATAAAATTGTTCCAGCCTGCCATTCTCTAGTCACTGGAATTTCACTTTCACATGATTTGCCTTGATATGCTTGTATGCATGGTCCATGTCAACTAACACTTCACGGGACCAATCTTGTGCTTACCTCGAGCTTTTACAGGACGTGGCTCACTTTCCGCCCCAGTGACACTGTTGTTATCGTCCCCCAGTCGGATTGATCGTCTAAGGTGTGGAATAGCTAGGTTGCATACAAATACAACCAAGATGTAACGTCCTTGGTGAGTCGATGGTGACCAAAGTTCATCTGACGCTGGCCGGTACTCTTGGAGGAATACGGTCACCAGCCTCATCAAGGCAGGACGAAACTGGCGACGAACTTGGTCTGCTTCCAGTGAGTGGGTTCCAGTCGCCTAATTGCGGAAGCCTCAACAAACTGAAGCAGGCGGGTGGCGTTCTGTCGATTGGTTATTCTGAATGATTCACGAGAGTTTTCGCAGATTTGACAGTTAAATGTGTCGGATGATCCAAATGACTGGCAGCTTCAGAGCATCCTCAACCAGGCCTCGTGGATTCTGCTACAATTCGGCTGACGTACTTTCAACAGCAAGTACATTGAAACAGGTAAATGCTAAACTGTGAGGAGACTATGCACAAGGATTTTAGAGTATATTCGGCGAAACCCAGTCGCGATTGGTCCGAAGCTGCGTGCCATTTCGGTCGTCCGACACATACTTAATTGTCCCATTAGTGAAAACCCTCGTGAATCATTTAGGATAACCAACCGATAGAGCGCCACCCGTCTGCTTCACTTTGTTGAGGCTTCAGCAATTAAGCAGCTGAGACCCACTCTTTGTAAGCGGATCGAGTTCGTCGCCAGTTTCGTCTTGCCTTGGTGAGACTGGTGGTCATGTTTCTCTAAGTGGAATTCCGGCCAGTGTCTAAGGTGTGTTTAGTGCTGGGTGATTTGCGGGATAACGGCTAATTGTAATACGGAGCAGTAAAAGTCACCAAAGAGCAGTCTCGCCAATGTCGCGTTATTTTTGCGACCGCGTCTTTGACAGGGTGTAGGCGCCTTTGCCCCGAATGTTTACTCAGCGTATTTATGTTTCACACCAGATCCTCCTTTCTCACATCCTTATTTCTTATTTCCTAGATCGTAGTTGTACACTAGCAGGGTGTCACTTGAAATGGCTAATGTGTCGTTGATGATGATAATAACAAACTGGCAGATAAAGTCATCAGTTTTTCGTTCAGACAGGTTTGCTATCTGTTCTGTATGGACAACTATACGCATCGCTTCGTTTTCTATGTGCTCTTGTACCCTTTGCCACAAATAAAGATGACGGGATTTCCAGTGCACGCCGATTAACATAATAATTGAAGCCGAGATGAACTTCGTCATCTTAGTTGGAGTACCGGCTGCTTTGCGTGGACCAGTCAAGCGTTCACGGACGGCTTAATCCGTTGTTCGTCATTTGAACGGGCCTCAATCATTTTTTGTATCCGATACATTTTACAACACTTAACGACTTGTTTTTAATTAGGTTTGATGAGATGTATTCAGAAGCAATGGCTGCATCACGACGATGTGGCCTTACAGAGGCCCAGCGAGGCCGTTTCACTCAGATGCTGATTGATCTGGAACCATCCAGGAGCAATATCGGTGACGTCATGGTTTGGTGCCTGGAACACGCAGATTCAGCTGCAGATATTGCCTGTTGCGTCGTGGAGTCTTTGTCTCCGAACTGTCCCTTCCTGAAAACTGAGACCGCTGAGAAAACTGATGCCACTAAGATAGACGAACCCGATGTTACATCCGACGAGAAAACGGAAGCTCACTCCCCCATTTCAAAAATTATCGCGCGGCTGTTTCTCATCTCGGACATTCTCTACAATTCGTCCGCTAAGGTTCCAAACGCTTCCTACTTCAGAAAATGGTAAGCTCCCTCCCATCATTTGTGTCCATGTTACTTTTCGTTTGTTGATGTTTGATGTTATTCGCCGTCAGCTTACATATCTTTATAACAGCCCGGCTTTCGTCTTTCTAGTTTTCAGGATCTCTTGCCTGGTGTTTTTACCAATCTGCACGCCACTTACAAGAATGTTGAAGGGAAGCTAAAGGCGGAACAGCTAAAGGTAGCACTGCTGTTACCCTGTACTTATTCGACCATTTTCCAGCAAAAAGTTATGCTTTGTTTCCGAGCCTGGGAAGATTGGGCCGTTTATCCCAACGACTATCTAATCAGACTGCAAAACATATTTCTCGGTCTTGTGAGCCAAGTGAGTTGTGCTTTATCATGCTGTAGTTACCGTGTTAAACCCCCTTACAAGCCTACTTTGTGTATCTTATTGAAATATTGCGTTTACTCCACACGTCACCGTCCCATCCCTATAGGAACAGGCTCATGTACGATCCCCATTGGTGGTGTCAGTTTTCGTTACACACGTGAGTACAGTTAGTGGTGTATTAATTTTTCACCTTGCGGCCACTCATTTGCGGACGCGGCTTTGGTGACTCCATTACATTGCGTATTGGACAGTTCTACTCCCTCATTCATCAGGCTGCTCACCAAATTGACGGTACGCATTCTGCTCCTCAGCACCAAAGTGTTAACCCTCCATTATGCTGTGAGTGCTCGACCATGACACATCCCAACTTACTCCTGTTTTTAGGGAGTAGTGAACGGAACTATTTGTATCTAATTTCCAGCGCGGATTTGTCGCTGTTACACAATTCGTCAACATTATCGTTAGACACGTAAGCAATGAGCGTGTTCGGAGTGGCGTATTTGTTGCAGAAAGGGTGAGTGAACCGCTCAGCACCATTATATCACGCACCAGCCTCCGATGGCTGGGCCGCGTGTTGCCCATGTCAGCACACCGACTCCCGCGACGTGTATTGCTTGCGCGCCGGGGGTGCGGTTGGAAGAGGAGGAGAGGAGGCCAAGCGATTACTTGGTTGAGAGAAATGAAAACCCTCACTTCGAAACTGGCGTCGATTGGTGTACCCCGACTGCTTAGCTGAGGTCCTAAGGGCGATAAACACATTTGTTTGGACACATTTGCTGATCTGGCTAGGAGCCAGCCCCAATGGCGTATGTATTGTGAGTTACTTTGTCCATCCCCCTCCATTTAGGTTCCCCCTCCAATTCCGATCTCATACAAAACGCATAATATTGTATTCAACATCACATTTTGTGTGTGATGTAATCTGTAGTGTAATTTTTAGTGTCATCTTTTTGTATTGCGGCACATTAGCTGAGGTGTGTTTCTCACCCTCAGCTAACGTGTACTGATGCTGATGACGATATACGTAAGCTAGAGGTGGAAAACACCTCAGCTACTGTGCCACAATACATGAGAAAAATACCTGCATTCCATGCACGCCAGATGAGCTACTGGTAACAGTTGGGTATCGTTCCGGGAACCTACTAGCCGGCATTGTGCCCAAAAATCTTATATTATGCAAAATTTGTGATATGCTAGGAAATAAGCTTGTTTGGAGAGCAAAGCAAAGTGGGAGGGGGAGGGACAAAGAAACTCACAGCACAAACGCAACTGGGGTCGGCTCCTAGCCATGTCAACAAGTGCCTCCAGCCAAACGTGTTCATTCGTCTTACGGACCTCAACTAGGGAATCGAGAGGCTCCAACCGAGGCCAACTTCGAACTAAGGGCCTTCATTCCTCTCGACCAAGTCATTGCTTGGCCACCTCTTCTCTTCTTTCATCCACACCCTCGGCGCGTAAACAACGCACGTCGCGGGTGTCGGTGGGCTGGCATGTGCAACACGTAGCCAACCATCGGGACCTGGTGCGTGAACTAACCGTTCTGAGCGGTTCATTTCCTCTTCCTGGGCCATAAACAATGCGTCGAACGAGCCCATTGCTTATTTGGTGTTCTCACCAGCTATGAGCCAAACTGCGAAGTCACTAGTGGTCGAACGTAATTAGTCTCCTTATGTCTACCAATCTATTGGGCCATGTTTCACAACCGTAGAGTAGGGTCGAACGTACCGCTGCATTGTAAATTCTGCTCTTCAGGGCAAGTGTGTGTCACGCTGGCGCTGTTTCGAAGGTAAGCAAAAGCGCCTCGAGCTATTACTATACGGTTTGTGACCTCTTCGATCCTAAGGGCAACTGATACAACTGCCCAGGTAGTTGAATTTTTGAACGACTTCCATCTGATCCCCACCAAGAGTCAGCGCGAGAGCCGGTCCCTGCCAATCCTGGAGGAAAGCTTTGCACTTGGAGGGTGCAAAGCAAAGCACGAAACAGGTGACAGCCAGCGCTACTCTGTCCAGTGCCGCTTGGCACCTTTGTGAGCTGTCACATATGATGGCAATATTGTCAGCGTACTCAAAGTAAAGAAATCGTTTGCCTGGGAACAGCCCCACACATTCTAAATGGTGTCCTGTAAACACGATCTGCATGGCTTCGTCAATAGCGAAGTTGAATAGGAAAGGTGACAGCGAGCAATTTACTCGACCGTAGTCGTCAGTTTTCTCACTGGACGCTGATCGCCCTGCTCCCTGGGCTGTCCCTTTGGATCTGCTATCTCGCTCAGAAGCCGAGCATGAGATCGGACTGCTGAGGTTGAGTAAGGCTGCGGAATCAAATCATATTCATCCAGCTCTTCAGATTCGAGGGACCTGCTCTTAATGATTTACACGAGTTACTAGTGAAACCGTGGGCGTAGGAAACTGTTCCAATCAACTGGACCCGCCCTGTCATAGTCCTAATCTCAAAGGGAGACTCACGTTCGCAATACGGCAGCCGTAGCGCAATCAGTCCGATCTCCATCGCCTCCAAATTGCTTGCCTTTGTCATCCTTTACAGATTGATCGCTCAAGAAAGCCAGATTCGTAATGAGCAAGCCGGATTTCGTCGAGGTCGGGGCTTCATCGCTCCACGGTTAGGTTCAACCTCATTGCGATGGCTACGCAGTTGGTAGTTACCTGTGGTACGATAGATCGAGTTGTATTGTCTTAGGTCAACTTATTGTTAGAAAGCTGCATCGGCAGATTGAAAGGTTGATAGGCGAGAGGGCCGATCGAAGGATCAGTTGACGGAGGATAGAGTGATGGTGCTTTTTTAACCTGCTCTGCTATCTTTTCAACTCAGGGAGGTTATTGATGGTGTCTACTCGTATTAGGGAACATGACAGGTACCAACGTATTGTTCGACCTTTCGAGCGACCTTTTAACACATTTTGTTTCATTGTCGTTTACGATCTTCGATCACCCACCAAATTGACTCACCTTCGACAACCATTACTCTCCAAGATATGTGACCGGCAGGATTACGAGGATTGTGAATTGCTCTCTGTGTGGTGTAAGCCAATCCCTGAGTTGTTTTGGTACTCTCCGTCAACTGGCACACTTTAGCACCACGCAACAGTATCCAACGATGGGCAATATTTAGCGTTTAAGGAGCATCGGGTCCGGTTACATTTCACTGTCATAAACCTTACCTTTAGGCTTATGCTTCACTGCTTCCATAGACGACTATATAAATAAATAAACAATGTTACCAGGTGTCACGTTCACCTTTGTGATAGAGTTGCTCGCTTCTTCGTCGAATTGACCGCTCAGCGCTAATTCTCAGCGGCACCGCACAAAGCACGCGCTGCGTAAACTTACTTGACAGCACTCGCAGCGTTGCGCATTTAAAATTTATACTATTCCAAGATGCTCACGTAAAAGAACTTACAGCGCACAAGCCTGAGATTTAATTCTATACTGGCTCTAACTTGTACAAGGGTCATTCAATTGTGGTACCTGCGATCTGATCTATAGCTGTTCCGTCGCACCTTTGTTCCCACTGTCATCCACGGATGAACTTCAACATACTCATTGTATAACGTAGCGGCTGTCCTGCGTGACACGGATACCGTCATTTCGGTAGAAAGCAAAGTTGCTCACCTACCATCAAGTAGTTCGTGGTTTTGCGACTTCACGTCGATTGGTTTCGCATATGCTCTGTACACTAATACTTTGGTTGTGGAAGACTTAAAAACTACCCCATTCCAATGGTGCAACATTTCGGGGTTCAAAAATGAACAACGCTAAAGAACCATCTTAAAGCACCCTATAGCACACCTTAACTAGTCCAGCGTGCGTACAATTCATCATCCGATCCAATATCTCCGGATGCTTCAGTTTATGCGCGTTTTTGAAACTGTCGATCGTGCATCACTTCATTGGCAAATTAAAACAATTCAAGCATGTTTGCCCTACAACGATGCGTGTGCAAATTTTCTCAGTGTATCACGGTGTCTTGCGATTTATGAAGAAGTCGGGCGATCACAGCAAGCGATCGTGGACTTAGGCCGACAGCTTACCCACTTGGTTCATTTGCTGCTAATGTCCAAGATCGCGGAGCTACCGATGGAGTTGAAAGAAAAGCGTTGTGAATAAGAACGATACTTACTCCTTTTTCGGTTTACATTGTATTGTTAGGACTGATGGCGCAAAACGGGGTTTTCAACATACTTAGACGCTTGCCTGCTAAAGACCACCGAGATAAGCTTAACCTTTTCACCAGCAACCTATTAAAACACCCCGGCCTGATTGCTTGTCACAACCAATTGTCTCTATAAAGTTCCTATACTAATCACTTCTGTAGCTTTCGCTCCATCCGAATAGCAGCTTAGCTCACTGTACACTCATTTAATTGTAGGATGATGATGATGCCGACTTATCTGGAGTCCCATTGGACTACGATCCTTCCGGAGGATTAGAGATTCCGGGGAAGCGGTTTAATGCAACGGATTCAAACGTTGAGATCTTGGAGGCCCAGCCGCTTGTGCAATACGACGGCGATCCCTTAGATGTTGACGGAAGTCCGTTGGGTGCCGACGAGCCCCCGGAAAAAAGCATTGCTTCTCGGTATGTTCTGTTGTTACTTCGCCTTCTGCCTCTCGCTAATATTCTATACAAAGCCTGCATCATGCAGCTACCATCATTAGACCCATTTATTTGTAGAGGTTTCCGCTTTATTTATTCCGGGAATCCGTAAAAAAGGAAGGCATTAGCAGTGCACCGGTACGTCATACCGTTGATTCGCTGCCACGCTACCACCAATAATTGCATGCATGCTTGGGATACTGTTAGGTCGCCCGCATCTACAATTTCAGACCGACGACCTGTGGATTACACAGAACCGTTCCGCACCGACCCGGAATCTGTGGTGTAGGGGTTCAGGCGTTTGATTTGCAACCTCCACACACACAAATTAAGTCTCCCTTCTTGCATAGATTTCGGTGGCTACGCCAGCAAAGTATCAGTGCGAAGTACTGGTGTGTCACTGACACCTTGTTATTTCACGTTTAATCAAACTTAGCTTCCTCATTTTACGAGCTCAGACAAGCAGTTGTGTTCAGCCTAGTGCTTAATTACATTTCGGGAATGATACCCATCATCTACTCTTTCATTCGAGCATCACATTGACTTAAGCCCGAGGTTACTAATACATGTTTATTGGCCTTTTAAGTACAGCGAAATCGCAGTTCTGTCAGTCCTGCAGACTGACATAATTCACCTAGACACAGACACTCACTTTGTAGCTCAGTTAGCTTGTGTTGCATTTCTAGCCATCCTTTCTCCCTGCCTCCTATCAGTCCCCCAACACAAACTGTGCCCAAACCAGTGTCTACAATGGCTTCAGATTCCAGCGCAAGTCGGCTGTTCGTCCCTAGCAAGTGGGAGACAGTGGATCCCGAAACGGTCGAGGCAGAAGCGGTTACCACTACCAGCCGATGGGAGCTGTTAGTGGACTCCACTCCGCAACATTCAACGTCTCCTGGCTCTGCCCGGACCACAAACGACAGGAAGGAAACGACCAGCTGGAGGCAGAATTCAAATGCTGCCGACGATGATGATCTGGACGGCCAGTAAGTTGATGCCATCAGTACTGCTACCAAGCTCAAAGTGTCTTTCATTCGTAAAACCGCTCACTGGGTCTCAGTTGTCCGTAGACACAATTAACCACGTCACCATCATGCAATCGCTACCAAACAAATACAGTACATCACCAATCCGAACTAATGCTTCACTGCCATACAGCTATTTCGGCCTTGCTAGCGACGAATACTAACTGTACGGTGTGGACAAGGTGTAGGCACCTTGGCGGTGAATGTTTGTCTTGGACATTAGGGGTTTGCGCTAGGTCACCCTTCTATCCCTCTTATTATTCTGCAATCCTTAGATCAATGTGGCTGTGAGGATAAAGGTCATCAACGAAATGGTTTTCTCATGACTCATTGTCTCGTGTTACAATAAATCTCCGACCACAGACTGGCTATCGCAAACCTTGAGTCGATTTTAGCATTTATCCACTCGTCACTGCAGGACGGCTAGATATATCTATCATATCTAGTTCTTCGTCTTCGGGCTAGCAATTAATGGGCGATGCAGTAACAATGGGTTTGAGGGCATCAAGGGCATGCGAAATGACGGGTCTACTCTAGAGTTCTTATGTGGAGAGCTGGCTGTACCGTCTCACAGTTGTTAGACTGCAAAACAGTACCCCCTCCCACGCAGCGCATATCAACTAGTTTCCCCCAGACGGGAACTCAGACTACGATGCGAGACCCCACACCAACTTACATCTTTTCATGCTTTTAGTCGTTTGTAACACGCAGTTGTTTTATGCCTTGCTACATCATTGCTGATCTTATCATTGGGATAAGTGAAAGTGGGACTGATTAAGGTGAGGGGCGCATTAAATATTATATTTCAAGATCTCTGCATATAGTGCGAAAATGTGGGCGTATAGGGGTAACGATTTTGCCACTTTCATCTACCAACATCGTAATTGGCCCTGTTCCACAAGCAGTGATTGTTGGTATCAACTTCCAGTTTTGTCTGTTGTCATCGTCGTCATAGTCACGCGCGTTAGTTAGGGGTTGGAAACGCTTCAGCTATTGTGCCATAACTACAACTATGTTTCCATTGTGTTGAAGATGACATCGTGATCGGAGGTAGGAAGACAGTGTAAGTTACGCTACAAATCCCACCAAATTCGGCTTTTAGTCATGTCAACAAGAGTCTCCGACCGAACGTGTTTATAGTTTTTCGGGTCTCAACCACTGTTGCAAGGAAGGAATCAGCTGTGGGCGTGTTGTCTTGTCACACATCAATCTATACGGTTCTCTGTTGTGTGGCAATGCATGACTTTGAGTTTCGTTTTGCAAATTCTGTCTTTCCATTTTCCGTCACTCTTACGACATTTTCCAAAATGCCGAAAAATTCACTCTTGATTCCTGTTCGAAAATTGCTGGAAATGGCAAATACTTTTGTGCTAAATCTCATATTTCGTGTGCTCGATTACCTGCCGGTTCCCATCGTCTTTTCCCTTCTATTCAACATCCAAATTTCTTGCAACGATCGTCACAGTCTAAGGCAATCAACGAAATCGATAACATCTAGCGATGCAGCTCGCAACTAAAAACGTTTAACTGTGATCAGTTCCATATATATTGTCCCGCAAACTGGCCTAAATTCCATCCGAGGTTCAACCCAACTTTCCTCCCATTTTCACCATCTTACCACTTATTACCCCGCCATCCTAATTCTTCCATAGGCACTACACCAACAGAAACAAATGATCCACTGGGTTTGCGCTGTGCTATCTCTATAGACCCATATGGATGTTCAGTAGTTGAGGAGCCATGAAAACTTAGCGACGGAAGAGGTCACGAAACGACTAGAGGCCCCCCTGCTACTGACCAACAACAGACCAGGTCATTAAACGCTCCAGACTCCTCTCCTCCCACAGGAACCGCCTCAAATGATTAGAACTTATCAAATCTGATGGTTTTTCACGCACCCGTGTCTAACGATCCAAGTCCTCAGGCACGCTATGATCATGACGTTGAGTTCTTACAGAGCCTGGTTGATAGGTTCCTCGATGTTTACGAGGATGGAGTGAAAGTGAAGCAAGTCATCCGCTTCGGCAAAAACATTGCTGAGAAGGACCGACCTATAGGGGGGCTTTGCCGACCACGCCAGCCAAAAGCTAATACTTTCTCGGCTGAGTAGACTTAGCAGCGAAAGAGTGCATATTCGTCCGGATATAGATCCAGCTGCTGGGAGCGCCTCAAGTGTGCCATCGTCGAGCTCAAGCAGCGAGCCGATAAGGAAGGAACAAACCTACATATTATACGTTTTCAGGTGGCTACAACACAAATGCGAATTCTGCTAAATCGGTCGCTCGCTCTCTAGGCACCCCTGCGTGTAGCCTTTACCAGTGTCTGCCGCTACGTTGCTTTTGAGCGTCCAGATGTAGTGTGACTCGCAGAGACCTACTTGAACGACGAAATACACAGGAAACGGCTACTCGTGTCTCCGTTGTGATTAGCTATCGAATACCCGCAGTGGCGTATTTCTCTACATCCGGTCTTCTCTGTGTGGCAGACTTGTGAACGCTAACCGAAGCGAAGATGCCCTAAGTGAGCAGTTGTCGTTCTCAATCCACCTCAGGCGTTGAGAGCTACTCATGCGTGCATTTCATCGTAGTTCCTTAAGCCTTTGTTTGGATTGAGCGCCGCATTTCCGGAAGCACGTAAGTTGACCTCATTTTCTATTCCTAGATGATTTCAACTGTCCTCGAATACGCTGGGCTGAAGTTCAACTTGTCGCCAGATATTGTCATATCGAAGTAAAGTTCGCTGAAACGGTAGTTGGGACTGGGGCATCACAACACATCTGTCAACCGACGCGCATAACATCGCGCTCAACTCCATCGAGCTTAAACTTCATGTTAACAAACTGTGAACAACGTACGTTTGACATCGTATCTAGAAACCTCTAGTAGCAAGCGGCCACATAGTTATTGTTACAAACGTAGAACTACCGGTGCAGTTATTCCATACACTGCAGCCAGTTTATAAAAACTGGAAGACGGATTTCAATTGCCTGATTTGTGCCGCCAGACAAGTGGGTTAGTCTTTGCCGCAATCCACTTCTGTTGCTTTAAAGAATGGGATCAACACATTGTGTAACCGGTTTGTGCCTCAAAGTGTCAGAAAGTCAGACCGGTCAGTCTACATTGGTTCGACAAGGAATATGGTAAACCGGCTCGGCGAAGGGTCAGATTGTCATCATCATCATTATACACGTTAGCTGCAGGTGGGAAACACCTCAGCTATTGTGCCGCAACACTAAGGACAAGAAGAAAAAAATACAACAGTGGCATGTCGGCTTAGTCCCCAGTAACGGATGGACATCGTTCCGGGGAGCTAACAGCCGGCTATCGTGCCGTAAAAAGAGAGTTATATTATGCCTAGCAAATGAGATTGTGATTGGAGGGGGAGGCGAAGCAAGAGGGGGTGGACAAAGGAAATCACAACACAAACGCCATTGGGGCCGGATCCTAGCCAGATCAGTAAGTGTGTCCAACCAAACGTGTTCATCGTCCTTAGGACCCCAGCCAGGCAGTTGGAGTGCACCAACCGACGCCAACTTCAAAGTAAGGGTTTTCATTCCTCTCGACCAAGTCATCACTTGGCCTCCTCTTCCAATTGCACCCCGGCGCGCAAACAATGCACGTCGCGGGAGTCGGTGTACTGGCATGCGCAACACGTGGCCCAACCATCAGGCCTGGTGTTGAGCGGTTCATTCGCTCTTCCTGCACCCAATACGCGATGCCGAATACGCTCATTGCTCACTCGGTGCTCCCACCAGACATGAGCTAAGCTGCGAAGACCGATGATCGAATGTGACGAGCCTCCTTACGTTTGTCGACCTTATAGGCCAGGTTTCACAACCATATAGGAGAGTTGAACGGACGGGTGCGTTATAAACTGTGCCCTTCAGGGCGAGAGTAATGTCGCGTCTACGCCACAGGTGGCGGAGATTGGCGAAAGCACCTCGAGCTTTTTCTATTCGGTTCGTAACCTCATCTACGTTCACACGGGCGCTAATATCGTCGTTCAGGTACTTGAATTCCTGAACGACTTCTAGCTGATCACAACAAAGCGTTAACGCATTGGTGGGTCACTGCCAACCTTGAAGAAGTACTTTGCATTTCGATGGAGCAAAGCATAGCCCAAAACGATAGACCGCCAGTGCTAATCGGTCCAGTGCTGCTTGACATGTTTGGGAGCTGTCACAGATTAGGACAATATTGTCCGCGTACTCCACGTCAAGAAGTCGCACACCAGGAAGTAGCTCCACACCTTCTAGGTCGTGTCCAGCGAACGCTGTTTCCATGACTTCATCAATAGCGAAGTTGAAGAGGAAAGGTGACAGCGAGCAACCTTGTCTCACACCGCTGGTGATACTGAAGGGTGGCGACAATCTGCCATAAACCCCCACCCTGACCGAACTACGTGCGTACAGCGCTTTGATAATGTTTACATATTTATCAGGCACACCTTCCTCAGTAGACAATCCCAAAGGGCACATCGATCGACTGAGTCGAAGGCACCTTTTATGTCAAGAAACATGACAACGGGGGCAGACTGTGGGACAAATTCATTAACTCTGGCTCCTTCGATGATTACTAGGTGTATATAAAGCAGCGAAGCATTTACAACAAAGGGAAAACAAACAATTATCGGCATCTCAAAGAGCAGACTGCAACCGCTGCAAAGACCGCTCCGAAGAGAATCTTTGCATATGTGGAGCGAAACATGACGCCGGCAGGTGACCTACCATTGATAGAAGGCGCGGACGGATAGCCCTTAACCTCTATCACTGTACGTGCGCCTTAGCGGCTCACCGTTTTCGTGTTTGAAAATGACCAGGTTTCTCTACCGTGTTCCACGTGCACCGCCCTTATGAAATTCTACAGTCTGGATTGTGGAGTGGTAGAGGTGGATCAACCAGTCTGCTGGGCCTGATGGGCTCCACCCACTGATTCTCAAGCCTTTGTCGGTCATAAACTCGCCCGTTGTGACTGACCCGTACACCAATTCACTGTCCAAAGATTCGTTGCCGATTTATTGGAAATGCTCATTGGTAAGGCTGGTTCCGAAAGGTGGAAACTCCAGCAAGGTAAACAATTACAGGCCTATTTGTTTGACACCTATTTTGGCTAAGGTCGCTGATAAGATCGTAAAGAAGAGTTTTCTACAGCTGTTCCGGTCAAGATGTCATCTGACGCCCGCACAGCACGGCTTCATGACAAAGCCTGAATAGTTGCAAGCAGTGAACCATAGGAAGTCTGTCGGTTTGGTTTACATAATTTTCAGCAAAGCGTTCGACAAGGTGAGCCATGAGGTCTCAGGCTGAGTTTGCGGTGTTGGTGGTTCACTGCACTACTGGATCTGCGAGTTTCTCCTTGGAAGAAAAGTGGACGGTACAAATCGACAGTCATCTCACCGACTGTTTTCTTTCGACTATCGGCGTGCCCCATGCCACGGTGCTGTGGCCTACATTGTTCGTGTGTACTTGCCATTGAACGCCCTCCCCCAAATTACGTTGTTTCCGCCCCCTCTTTATCTGTATTTAAAAAGCACCTTGATGCTGTACTAACCCACCTACACTTCGAAATATACCCTGTCTGCATCGGCAGAATATGATGTGACGGACGTTGCACAACCTGCACTAACCTACACAGTTGAGGTTGGCTCCTTTCTGCATCCCTGTGTGAACACTGTGATGGGTCCACGAAAACGACTTCCATTTCATCATTTTTGTTTTTTCACCATGTTGTGCTTTTCCTTCTGGTCCATTCTACGGGATTTGTTAAGCTTCCGTTTTTTACCCTCAGTATACCATTATTCCATTGCTTTGTATCAACTGTCTGCCTCAGCTTATTCAGTCGCTGTGTACCGTGTTTGCGCATGACCTGAAGATGTGGAGAATTTTAAGCACCTCTGACGACTGTGGTCTATGTTAGCAAGACCTCAACCTGCTTTCCATGTGGTCTGCAGAAGTCCGCCTCCAAGTTGGAATTCATTAGCCTGGTTAAGGGTAGTGACGGTTGAACCTACACTCTTAGCGCCCAACTGCTACTGCCCACACCTTCTGTGAAGGACCTAGGCGTACTGTCACGTGGACAACACGAACAGGCTACACCGCAACGGACTGCGCATGCTATGGGCGCTCAAGCTTAGCTTCTGCATCTGGTCTGAAGAGATAGCCACTCGTCTCTTCTCCTCCATCATCCGACCAATACTGGTGTTCGGCTTGCCCGCCTATTGCCCGACCACTGAGGACGAGACGCATAAGATTAAACGTGTCCAACATGTCGCTCCTAAGCTCATCCCCATTTTGCGCGTCTTACCGTCTGAGGACATGTGCGAGAGGCTGGGACTATACACACTTTCCTTCATAAAGGCCTACAGCATTCTATATCTAGATGAGGCAACGGCTCCACTTGCTAACAGTTTACAGCACAGGCGGACACCAGTACAGGCTTGTGATACCAGATCTGAAGCGAGTTTCCCATGCTTTGAGAGGAGAGCGGTAAATGTTTGAAACAGTTTGCCAGGGCATATTGTTGTAATAAACTCAGTGCAGCGGTCTAAACGATTGTTGGTTGTGCATTTCTCAAATCTGATCATCGTTCCACCTAACCTGAAGGTGAGAAACACACTATTGTGCCGCAGTACATAAAGATAGGACAAAAGGAAAAAAGCAAGATGCTGGAAATTATAGAATGCTAAACTATAGGCGGCAGAGGGGCATGTGGAGAGACAGCTAAACTCAGCACAAACGCCATTGAGGTCGGCTCCTTACCATGTCAACTAGTGTATCCAACCAAACGTGTTCATCGTCCTTAGGACCTCAGCCAGACAGTCGGGATACTAACCGACGCCAACTTCGAAGTGAGAGATTTCGTTCCTCTTGACCAAGTCATCGCTTGGTCACCTCCTCTTCCGTCCAGACCCCGGACGCGCAACCAACGCGATGGACTGGTATGCGCAACACGTGACCCAGCCATCAGAGCCTGGTGCTGATATAATGGTGCTGAGCGGTTTACTCTCTCTTCCTGCACCAAATACAAACACCGAACACGCCTATTGCTCACACGGTGCTCCCACCAGATATGAGCTAAGCTGCGAAGTCAGCGATGATTTAACGTGAGTAGTCTCTTCATGTCTGTCGACTTGATGGGCCAGGTTTCGCTGAATTGTAAACTCTGCTCCTCAGGGCGAGAGTGCTATCGAGCCGCCGCCACAGGTGGCGGAGATTGACAAAAGCACCTCGAACCTTTGATATACGGATTCCGATGACGATTACCTACTGATACCACACATTTGTGAGTCTTTATTTACTGTGAGTTACGATATCACGTGAGAATGGGAAAACGATTAGAGTATTGTTACGTCGTAGGTAGTTTGTTCTTTTAACGTTTTTTCGATGGAGTTGTATAGATTCAAATTTCTACTTGCTCCCACAATCCAGTAATCACAACAACCACATGATACCTGCGCTTGGAGCAACACAATGAGTAGCTCATTTTGTATCACTGTGCGTGAGATTAACATTGGGAAAGATCAGCAGTGCGCCGGCACGTCGTACCGACGTTTCTTTGACACGCGACCACCACCAGACGCGTGAGAGCCAGAGATACTGGGAGGTGGCATGTGGGGGCGCTATGGTCGTCACGAAGCAGATCCACGTGTGTAGCCGATTTGTAATTCGAATAAGTCTGTGTACCTTACATGAGTCAGTGACTTGGCGATTACTTCTATGCTGAACTCACTTTTTTGCAAACTTGCCACAAAAAGTCGTATTCCATCTTGCTCCGCACCGATTGGTGATGAGGCCCACCGAACGATATATGTCGAAGCATTCGCAACTCATGGGTGTTCATATCTTGTATTTCAAACGGTACTAAGCGGAGCCTAGTGACGATACGTCGCCTTTATCTCATCTGCCAAGTAGCGAACCCAATAGCATGCTATAACGTGCGCAGCCAAGCCAGGAGACAACAGTGGGCACGCCACATCACGTCAGAGCTTGTAACGCCTGTTTACCTTAGACGGTTGCATGCATCGTTCGGTTATGTTTGCTAGATTCCAGGTTTCTTGTTCTAAAAGTCTGGAGTATGTTTATTCAATTGTGACCGCAATCCAGACAATGCATCACACTTTAACGTAGCGTGGAGCGCAATCAGAATGGCTCTCCAGGTTTACCAGCACAACTGTACCTTACTTTTCTCTGATGTGTGCATGGACCACTGGTGGCGTTTCCTCTCTACGCACGATTGACATCCATTCGTTACTGTGTCTTTCTGGCCACCCCGAAAAGACACTCATAGGCATCAGTTTATCGTTACCATAACCCCTTGTTTTGCTCGAATTTTTTCTCGTCTATGTGACCACATCGTTTTTGTTCACCCTAGGTAACCGCAATCGGAGCACCAAAGTTTGATGAATCCAATTGATTAGACTTGAATACTAAGGTGTAATGGATGAAAACCTTTTTTGTCGTCGGTTTAAATGCATGGGCACCACTGCTTGGAATCGAATATTGTGCCCCATATCCTCTTGACGGTTTTTATACTCCTCATTCAGACCTCTGATTGGCCTTGTGGCGTACGATGATGAAGATGCAGCCAGCAGTGTATCCAGCGAACCAGACTCCATCCCGCTTCCATCATCGGCCCCACCGCCATTACCCTCCACCACCGTTGCTGATTCTTCGTTGAAACAGGAGTCCTCGGTCGGAACGAGTTCAGTACCAACAAACACACTTTCCGAAGAACGCCGTGCACGGTTACGAGACATTGAACTGAAGGTGTTGAGATATCAAGATGAGTTAGAATCAAGTCGCAAAGGAGACAAATCAATAACAGAAGAGGCTATCAATAAGGCAAGCATTTCCTTGATGTCCAATGCCGCATGGTCCGTTGAACAAGAATGTGGGTGCGCACCCGTTATTTTTGAATTTTACGAATCGTTTAATTTAAGAGCCGCTAACTCCTGCTATTTGAATTTTTGTGTCTGCATTGCAACTGGGGCAGTATTCACACATGGTTCGTCTTCATGATTTTTTGATATCATTTTTCGTGATTATCCAGCGGTTAAATAAAGTCGCATGATTCTTCTATAGCAAATACAAAGGTATCGAGAACGGCTGCTTGAACGACTAAACGAAGATGCTGCCGTTAGCCCGGTGCCTTCCAAATCACATTCTACGCATTCGAAATCACGAAGTTCGAAGTCCTCCAAGGGTGGATCGTCCTCGTTATCTGCCAATCTCAAGCAGTCGCTCAACGAATCGTCGATTTCTCCTCCGTCTCGTCGGGATTCACGTGACCGCTCTCCTCCACGATCATTCCGCGAACGAGATCGTGTGCGTCGACGAGCACCATCTCCCAACAGCCCTCTAGCGGTGATAGATTCTTATGACAGTCCTTCATATCGTGTCCAGCAATCTGGAAACTACGGCTCTCCTTACATACGTTCACGCATGAGCACCAGTGGTTGGGATCAAGATAACGACGATTTCGAACGGCGATCCCGAGGTAACTCAATCAGAACTAGTTTACCTCGTGAAGATTTGGAAGAGGGTGAAGCCAGCGACGAGGAGGATTCTGGCTTTATGTACGCGCAACTCGCATCCCGAAGAAAACATGGTGTCGATGACAAACAGTCTCCGAGCCTTAGACACGTGAGTTCATGCTTCGTCCGATAAGTTTGCATTTCCCATCCGAATGGCGCCTGGGTTGACCTATCCCCACTTTTCTGCGTTTCAGTTCCGGAAAAGACAGCGATCTCACTCTCCCGATTCTCCGGATGCCCGACAGCATTCCTATCGGTCCCGAACACCGTCACCCAGTCGTAAGCGATCGGGTGTTTCACTCAGCACCAACAACAGTGGACACAAGCGAAAGCTATGATTTTCAATGTATTAACGCCCATTCATTTGCTGCCGCCGTCACCTGTTAGAACTTTTGTACAGTCTTCATTTGCTTCCGTTTCTCCATTACTTTTCATCTAATCGTTCACCTCTTTCAAATGCTTGCTCTAGGCTGCATTTTTAATGCGTTTCCTCACTGCTTTTGTCACCTTATCAAATGAACACCGGGGAACCACCCCCGGTTATTGTAAAATAGTGTCGCCTAAAATCGTGGATATACTCACCCATACGAATTATTTTATCGGAAACTGCAAATCAGGCACACCCTTCGGAGTACTGAATCATTCCATTTGTATGGTTTCTGCGGTTTTGTTTTTCTCAGCGATGGCCTCCATGAAACGTTACTCTTAGTCAAATGAGTGAAGGCCACCTAGGAATTCCAATTTGCATAGCGCATTATGACAATCTGACGCACCACCTTCATATGGTTTCGAGTGTCGCTTGCCTCGAGCACAATGGCCTGTTTACAGCTTTCATAAATGGGACTTACGTGTTCATATAAGTGCTCACACTATAAGTTGACAGCTCGATTGGCGTAGAGCACGAGCGCTACGCATTGTCCCTGAAGACGAAAAGGCAGCGCCCAGTGCTCAATGACTTGCTACCTGCTGCATCGAGCCAGTCAGACACTGGTCAAATTGAGTCAAACTCGCCAACTCCCACTTGTGGTTGGCCTTGATCGTACGTGCGTAACATGTGTTTGGCGGCATTCGGTGCCGGATTTGGCTATCACTGCTGCCCCCATAGGGCGACCACAGGACGCCTGCCTACTGGGGTACCATGGGTGGCTTGCGCTGCACCACCCGCAACTCCATCCACATACCCCATATCCAGTGTAAACCCGAAGGAATAAGACTAGAAGGCTTGTGAAAGGTAGCCACGTTGCATTAACGGAGGCTACCCACACGCCTTTGACATGCACAGCAGCAGCATTTCTGTTTATGTAATTTGGGAATTATGCGTACCACATGTAGTCTGATCCACACTGGATGGAACCATCCTTTGAATCTAGCCCGGCAGCGAGGACCGTGCACCCGCCCTTTAGCAACGATTCAGTCTTTTGGAACCAGTAATGGAGGTGGAGGTTGTTAGACAGGTAGGCACCTAGTCAACACTTACATCAAGCATAGCCATGTTGGGGATATCCAACAACCAACACAGAATTTGTAGGAATGTAGACACGCATAAGTGACAAAATAGCAGACCTGAGCAAATCAAATAAAGAACAATACTTCTTATCTACATTAGCAAGGTCTAATTTAGCTGTAAGTCGGTGTACCCCAACTGCGGTGAGGAAACATGAAGTATGCAACATTGGCCTCAACATTAAGCACTCGTGCGTAACACACAACCATCAAAGAACACGTGAATCGTTCTAAATCTTCGAGGAATGTGTGTGACATACCTCAAGTGGACCCAACGAGTCTGCTATCACACTCCCGAACTGGACTTGCTCCCCATTGCCTTGCGGGTCAGATTATAGTCAAGGGCTAGAACCAAGGCACCTCGAACAAAACCGCTCTCTCGGGATTGGTAGCCGGAGAGTGAAATCTGCTATCTCGATCCCATTGATGGAAATCTTTTCTCTCGACTCTGTTGTGTACGAGATTGTCACTGACCTCGCACCTGCTGCCACGGATACATGTAGCTCTTCCACTAAACATAGAGTCATTTTATTTGGTTGTCTTAATGCCCACACTTTGCGTGGGGTCGACCAGCATGCAACATAACTCTCCCTCTTGGTACTGATGCGTGCTGCGTCTCAGGGTAACGCTGTCCTGACGAACCTTCAACACCCTGGTTCCGAATATTACGACAATGACTACCATCTTTGTGTCTCTGGTGATACGGAGTCAGTGGCTCAAGGTGTTGGTATCGTCCTCAGCAGAAATGCTGAGTCTAATCTACTAGATTGCATACCGGTGAACAGCCGCATGTGTACGGTTCGATTTCGAAACGCTATTGGAGTTAGTAAGCAGCGTCTGAAAACATTGCTTCAGTTTATGCTCCTACTGAATGCAGTTCGGAGGGCACCAAAGATGATTTCTGCTACTATCTTTCATCTCTTCTCCGCATGGTCAAGCATACTGGCATCGTGATTGTTGCTGGTGACTTTAATGCCCAAGTGGGCCGTCTTTCCGACTCAGAATGACACCTGCGAGGGCATTTCGAAGTCGATGGACGCCGAACAGACAATGATGATCGATTCTTATTACTGTGAGACGACCACATTTTTTCTATCAGCAACTGCTTTCCAGCGCAAACGTTCACACCGCGACATCTGGCGCCCACCGAATTTTTCAATAACCTGGACCAAAATTGATCATATTGCCATCAGCGACAGGTGACTGACATCAGTCCAAACGTGTCGGTCATGCCTAGATTCTGATCATGCGCACGCCGGGAACTCAATCTTCTCACTTCACAGGAGCGCTTATCTTCTAAGCTTACTTGCAACGAAACTCGCAGTCTACGGTTCAACAATATCATAACGAACTGGATCACTATTCGTCAGTGATGAATGAGGTTGGTGAACCGACCGCTGACTGGGACCGTCCCAAGTGTGCCATGAAGAATGCCTTTGACGCTTGCTGTGCACCCAACTTGAGACATCGTAACTGTAAGTGGATCTCTGAAGCATCAGTCAGTTTGATCGAGGCGCATTAACAGGTTTCAATAGGCATTGAGTTTCAGCGTACCCGTAACTCCCAGAAATGACTTCTAACAAGGAGTCTTTGTGTTGACCGGGAACGTTGACGGGTTGCAAAGACCCGTGCTATGGAAACAGCCAAATGTTATTCCAGCTCATCTGGAACACGAGTCCGAGAAAGCCATCAGTTATTAAGACAGTAGCTGCTGATCCATTCTCAGCGTCATCGACTAACCCCTTGGGCTGAATATTTGGAAGAGCAGTTCAGCAAGTCTGCTGCAACACTGTCGCTTGCCGAATCGCCTGAGGTGACGTGGGAAGTAGATGTCACATCTCCCACTTTGGAAGAGATTCGATGTGAGCTTTCCTAGTTAAAACGAAACAAGGCTTCTGGACCATATTGCAATCGACGACTTAATCGTCCTCGTGAGGACCGAAGTACTGAAAGCCAGGCTGGCTTCCGCACTGGTCGTGGTTTTATCGACCACATATTTATCTTCGCCAAGTGTTAGAGCAGAGACACACATACAGACGACCGACTATAGTGGTTTTCCTTGACTTGAAACTCGCCTTCAACTCTGTTAATCGAGACAGTTTGTGGCACTGCCTATCCATGAAGGGCGTGCCAGTTAAATTCCTTTCCATTCCGTAGTTCATTTAAGGTGATTCCAGAGGCAGTGTAAGGGTCTACCGGAAACTGCCTCCTGAGTTCCCCACGAGAAGTGCGGTTCAGCACTGATTGAAATAATCAAGAATAACAGTTCTTTCAGACTCTACAGGTCTCCAACAAACAAACCTGGATACGCGGACGACAGCTCTCCTTGGGTCTGACGCAGTGGCTATGTAAATACTAGTGCACAGACTTGTGCGTAGCACTGCACGCTTCGGCATGTACTTTGCACCTTCAAAGTTCAGAGTGTCGTTGTAGGACTGGGTCCACACACCTCCGGTTTTAGCTGTTTCGGAACAGCCACTGGAAGTGGTGGATCGGTTCAGTTACCCTGGTAGCTGTGTCACCTCTGCCGGTCACATCGCTGAGGAAGTTACTTCGCGTATCAGCGAGGCCCGTGTGACTTTCCGGAGGCTCACCCATCTTTGGCGACGGCGAGATATCAGCTTGTCAGTCAAAGGTAAGGTGTATAACGCTAAATCCTAGTCACTTGCGTTGTCTAGACTATGTTATCCGTATGCCTGTTGATCGAACTCCTCAGCGTTTATTCAGTAAGGTCAACTCAGCGAAAATTACAGCATGTTTGGTAAGCCAGACTCCTCGATATAAGTTGCATGTTCACATCCATAACTAACGACCCTTCTGAATCGATGAGGTACCTCCTTTGCCTCAGTTAAACAGATGGTGATTAACTCACACTAATGTCGGCCAATCCGTGCCTAGTAATCGAATCCGTTACGCCCGTCTGTCACTGGCTTGCTCGGTTTGTCCATCCGTACACTCTGATCTGACACTCCCATCACATCCTTTTATCGTGTGCTTGCCCCTCCGTATTGTTATGCATCCCTTACACCTTGCCACTCCGCTATATCTGCGGCCCTGGTCTCCATGCCCCACGCCATAGGGCGCTCCACTCCCAATCCACATTGTTGTCTCTGGTGTCGTCTCAAATGTACTAGTTTTCTTCTGAACCTTTTCTCTCCATCGTTTACTTGTATGACCTGGCACCGACCTTCGCAGTCAGCGCACCTTTCTTCTACCGCTCTTGACTATTGGGTACTGGTTGAACCCACATCCCCCCAACTGTTAACTCAGGTATTACCCGTTCACCGAGGTCGTAGTAACGTTTCTGGGTGGTCATTCGTCTGCTCAGATGGTTCCGTAATGTCTCATGCTGTGGCGAGACTGGGTGTAAAAGTATGGCAGATTCAAGCATCAGAGTTCTAGTCCTTCGGTTGCATAGGCGCTGCACTGGGCTCAAACCGATATCCGTTGAAGGAATGTTGCGATTCTCCAATACCATGAGGTATGGATCTTCGCCAGTACATCTAGCCTTTGATAACAGTCGTTTGGCGCGCTTTACTTCCGACTCCGCCTTTCTATTTGAATGATTGTGATATCAACTGATGCACGAATACCCACTTGGTTTCGAACGCCTGGAACGCAGCGCTGGTAAACTGGGGACAATTGTCGGAGACCAACTCTTCCGGTATACCGTGCCGCGCAAATTGATATCTGAGCGATCGACCTTCTGCCTACAACCCATTCGTCGCGATTATCTTCCCAGTTCGCTATAAGTGCTATACGAATCCCCAACTGGTTCACTCGGCCTGATGAAACTTTTGTGTCAAAAGCGAGACGTGCACAAACTACACCAACCGGCTGTATTCAAACCTTTCTGAAATCATGAGTTCTCGATCGGTTCCAAGCACTTTTCAAGATGTTGAGGCATCTGAGCTTGTTGATTGCTGCTTCTGTGGTTGTAGTGGTGAGTAAATCGATTTCAAACTAATCACCATAGTAATCTACCGTGAGTAGGTAATCTTCCGATAAAAGCGCTGATGCACTACGAGCCTGTTAATTGCACGCAACAGCTGGACTGAAGCGTTTGATCGCTTAGACCACCAA